TAATGGTCTCTATATGAAAAGGTTTCTCTGTGTAGCCCAGGTTGTTTTGGAACTCACACTGTAGATCAGGCTGATCTCAAACAGAGATCTTTCTGCCTTTGCCTCATGAGTGTTTCTGACTATGAAAAGTTTTTAAATTGTTTTTCTGCTACAATGTCCTTTATTGGTTCATTTTAGGGATTAGATCTGAAGACAAAACTAATAAACCAAGTAAATTAAAAATAAAAGTACTTTAATATTTCTTTTATTTAACCTTATTACTTTCCTGTAAAAGATGATTTAAAATTTGCATGTGTTTATGTGCAATCCATACTCAAACCGCATTTTATATTTTTTACCCCATCTGTCAAAAATAAACTCAACAAGCGGTAATCAAAGTGATGTTCTCAAATGGCTGAGTATTGTCTAAACGCCCTTCAAAGCTCTTAAAAATGTCTATTCCAACATGCCCTTAAGAACATCCTTACCAGCTGGTCAGTGGTGGTGGTGCACCCCGGCACTTGGGATGCAGGGAGGGGCAGGGATTCTGTGAGTTCAAGGCCAGTCTGGTCTACAGAGCAAGTTCCAGGACAGCCAGGGCTACACAAAGAAACTCTGCCTTGAAAAATAACAGCCTTACCTGTTGAAATTCCATCTAGTTTGATTTGGTGGCAGGGCTTCTCAGTTCTGTTTCTCAAGAGTTAGAGTCACAGGAGCATATATATGCTTTTCAAACCATTGTGCACTTTCTGAAGACCCCTCCATATGACCACAAAATCCCACCCACCTTGCACCTTCAGCTTACTCATGACCTGTCTTTTGATTATTTGAGAGACCTTTGGGTTAACTTGCTCTGAATCTACTGGGTTTTTCTGCTTCCTAAATTTGGTAGAGAAGGGGGGAGAGAGAGGGAGAGAGAGAGAGAATATGTGTGTGTGTGTATAAAATACATGTCCATTATTTCTGGAAAACACACCAAAAGATTTTCCTCTAGAAGAGTATGTAGGTTTTTATTTGCTGTGAGGCTGATATCCCATTGCTGAACTATAGAAAATGCAAATAGGTGATATGAATATTCCATGTTTACTAGTTGAGGTCTGGTGAGATATTTCCAGAGTAAAGGTGCTTGCTGCCAAACCTAACAACTTCGGTTGGTCAAAGGAAAAAAAATTGACTCACAAATTGACCTCCACAAGTATGCTGTGACAGTATGCATGCACATATATGTGTGTGCACAGACACATACATATGTTTAAATTCCACTAGTTGACAAATATTTACCAGTTATGTATTGTGTATGGAGTGTTTGGGGACCAAGTGGTCAGGGTGTGCAAGAGAGAGTGGACAATCTATCTGTGGCCTGTATAATGCCCGAAATACTAATAAACAAGTAATGAAGGAAAGTGCAATGAAATGGAATGTGAATTCTAGGGACTTTGGCCTGTAAGCCATGGCCTCTTCCCTAAAGACTATGGCCTCACAAGTCCTGTTTCCTCATCTGTAAGGAAGAGATAATAACTGGTGTGCCTTCTTAGCATGGGGCTGTTGTGCAAATCAGAGAAGAAATGACTATGAACACACTCTCTGACTATAATAGACACATGAGCACTATCATTTAAAACACTCAACTGGCTTTTATAGTGGCCCCATAGATGCAAGTAATCCACACCCTTCACACACAATTAACTATCAATGCATTTGTTGTTTAACAGCAAATATTGAAGCAAACCGTACAAATTTCCACTGCCCTTTTAAAGGTCAAGTAAGGTGAACCTTCCCTCCCTTTGTTAGACAGTGTCTTGTGTATTTACTCCAAGCTTGCCTGCATGTAGTCAAGGCTGACAATGGACTGGTCTTCACCCCGAAGTCTGGTTTATCTGGCCCAGGGCTTCGTGCATTAGGCAAGCATTCTGACACTGAGTTCTGTTCCCAGCCCATTGTCAACCACAGAAAAGTGGGAGTGGGGGTGCTTCTTAATAGTCCAGGTTGATAGTCTGCTGTGAGCTAGGGAAAAACAAAAGGAAAAGTAGGGTCTCATACTGTGTAAATTAATTCAAGAGAAGCCCAGTTTTTGCCCATCAGGACTTCAGATTGCTCCCAAATTTCTGGGAAGCTGAACTTCAGAATTGGCTGCAAGCCAATTCTTCACCTACTGCCTTAAAGGGTTTTATTTCCTGCCTTTGAATTTTATATGTAACCATGTAACCACTTACCTGGATATCAGATGAGCCATTTCATGATAAACAAAATTGTAAGAATTCAATCAAATAATAGACCTGAGATCTCTATAGCTAATAAAAACCAGGGCTGGAGGAAGTTGAGACAGGATGAGTACATGCTCAAGGCTATCCTGGGCTACATAATGAGTTGGAGGTCAGCCTGGGGTACATGAAGCTCTGCCTCAAAAGTAAACAAGCAGGAAATATTGTGCAGATCTCAAAAGCACAATGAACACAGTTTTTCCCCAGAAACCTGCATTTCCAAGGTAAATACATATTGAGTCATCAATAATGCCCTTGACAGTTAAAAACTTTAAAAAGTGGTATTAAGTTCATGAAGGCAGTACAATTCTCAGTAACTACAGAAACAGCTACTTGGGCTTTCTGAACGACTTTGCTTTTAGGAACTTTGCTGTGTCAATTAAGTGAAATCACAGGGAGTGGTAAACACAGCAAAGAGCAACAGGCTAAAACAGAGTTGGTGTCTAAACACATTTGCATAATAAGTAAAGCAGGAGGCAGGTCCCCACTGTGGTGTTTTATATTACCAAGAGGCAAGACTAGGGCCTTTATTTTAGAAAAAGGAATCAGAAATCAGAGCATGGAAATGTTAGCTATTGATCTAGATACCACAGACAGCAAATAAGAAAGCTCATGTATCTGCCTTAAAAGGTTCTATTGTGTGTGTGTGTGTGAGGCTGAGACCAGAGCCTCACACCCTCCCCCAGCCTTTTTTAACTTTTTGAGATAATCCAAGCTGCCAGTCTGCCTTTGCACCTGGGCTCTCCTGCCTGCCTACAGGTTAGCTGGGATTACAGGCTTGCACCATCAGACCCAGCTCCAAGCAAATGGGTCATTCTATATCACTGCGCTGCTACTCAGAGCTGCAACAAAAAACCAGTTTATTTCTGAAGCCCATTTAACAGCATCTCCATGTCCAACACAAATTTTGCGTTCCTTACCATTATCTTAGCTATAAAACTGTATCATGATGACTGACCATCATAGACAGCATAAAGACCAGGAAGCATGGAAAGCCACCGAAGCAATCTACCGTTTCATGTTTGAAGCGGGAGTAAAGCCCCCACCCCATGTAAGTTAACTGCAGGGTCCAGTTCTTGTGACTATCTCCAAATTAATAGCACCAAGGTAATGTAGAGGTTTCATTGTTTATGGGTGTGTCTATCTTTGGGTGTGTGCACATGCAGGTGCAAGTACCAGGAGGCCAGAAGAGGGTGTCAGATGCCTTGAACTGGAGTTACAGGTGGCTATAAGCTGGTCAAGTGCTGGGAACCCAGGTCAGGGCCACTGCAAAATGCAGCTGGAGCTCTTAACTGCCCAGCAATCATCTCTCCAGCCTCTAATTCAGAAGTTTTAAATGACAAAAGAGAAGCTCAAGAAAGTACAAAGAGCACCATATTCATTTCAAAAAACTGTATCTTCATTATATTAGTACCTGTGGGTACCCATGCCAAGGCACAAGTGTGGTGATCAAAGGAAAAATGTGGAGTCAGTTCTTACCATCTACCTTTAATTAGTTCAAGGGATAGAGCTCGAGTCATCTGGCTGGAGAGGCTGAGGGATCTCACTGGGCTCTTGTGTGTTTATTACATATATTTATTTTGCACATATGTGAATGATAGGTGTGTGTACCACAATGTGTATGTCTGTGTGAAGGTCAGAGGACAACTTGTGGGACAAGATCATCTGGTGGCAAGTGCCTTCACTCAACTTAAAGGCACTTTACTCAAGTAAATGCCTTTCACCCAACTTTGCAGGCTCCAATTTTGTGGTTCTTAAAGCTATGAGAGAAGGGAAAAAGAGATCTAGAGAAAGCCACAAAAATGGACCTGGAATGTCTGTAAATCTACTGCTTGGTGACTTTTCCCATTACACAATTTATAAAGAGATTCAAACAGAAATCCTTATGGTTAACAGGCCCCTTTCAGGCGTGGTGCACATACCTGTAATCCCAGCATCAGGAGGCTAAGAAGTTTGAGGCAGGCCTTGCTATGCAGGGAGACTATCTCAAAAGTCAAAAGGAACTGGACAGGCTATTATTGAGGGAGTACTTAGCCTTTTTCTGTAGTGGGTTTTGAAACAAAAAACACTTTGGAGATGGCATTATTAAGTGTTGAGGTCCAATGGGGGAAAGGGGAAGCAGTCCTTCACGTCCTCAGAGAAACAAAGAAAAGCAGGGGCTGGAAAAATGTGTTGAGGTAAATGCTATCAGAAAAACCAAAACCCAACAACAGCAAAAACATACTCAGAGATAAAATATTTACTTCCTTTAAGAACCATACATACTTGAGAAAGTGAAGACATACTTCTCAATTAAAAATAAACTAAGATTTCAGGGTTCAAGCATAAATGAAGACAGCCTACCCCACTGCCAGCTGAGGTTGGCTGGATCGCTCTGAAGTAACAACATTTGAAAGCTCCCATTCTTTGAAACTAATTTAAACACACAGAATTGTTGAAAGATTAAAAACCGCAGTCAGCTAATTACACCCTCTCTCATCTCTTATTCAGCAAATGAATCACTTTCTTTCCCGCTTAGCTGAAGTACATGGATTTCTGCCTAATTAGAAATGTTGTAGATGGGACATTAGCAAGAGCAGAGCAGGGCAGGGTGTCTCTGCTGCTTCATGTTTAATTCCTGACAGTAGAGCCTGATAGCAAAGAATAGAGAAGTCATTAAATAATTTTAAATTATTTATAAAAATTACTTTGCCCAAATTATAATTATTTTTCCCCAAATGGCCTGGCGTCTGGTGTAGTGAGAGAAGACGCGGTTCCGCATTGATTTTAATGAACGTTTTAATGTTATATATAACAGAACATCATGAATACAATGGAAACAAAGTTGTATCAATTGAATAAAAAAATTTTCAACATAAAAGTGGGGAGGTAATAATTTGATACTTATAGTATTTATTTTAAAAAATATTCCCAGCTTGAGGTTGAAACATTTAATTTTCAATTCCAAACTCTAGCATCATGATTTTCATGTGAGCTTAATGCAGAATCACAGCAGGAAAACAAAAAATTAATTAATTTCCTTTATTTGTCATTAAATCAATAAAATCTCTGACTGCTACAGGTCTCCTTTAATAATATATATCGAACTTCTATTGGAACCATATTGCTAATGCGGTATTATAGACACTCAAAATCCAAACAAAACAAATACAGTATAAAATCTAAACGTGAACATTGCTGAGTCCTAACTTTTATATTTAACTTAAGGTCTTAATGCATTTTTACCTTTCAATTTTTTGAAAAGACACCGAAAAAGATAAAAATAAATATTTTTTCTCTTTTGACTGTTTCTGACTTGAATGATGGCTACAAGGATATGCACGGAAAGGAGCTTTGCCAAGTCAATCACTGCAAACTGCAATGAACTGCTACAAACACACACACACACACACACACACACACACACACACACACACACACACACACACACACACACACACGAGGTCTCCCTCCTCCATCTCTTAAAGGAAACCACAGAGCAGTCCTGAAAAGAAAAACATTTTCCCAGTTCTGCACTGGGTAATTATAGAAAGAGACATGGGCAAAGGCTCACAGCTATTGACAGCTGTGGAAAGAGGGTTCAATTCCATGGAAACTCAGATGGTGTGTCAGCAGTGTTGCTGGAACCTTGGCAAAAGTATATACATCAGGTTACCTTTGATTTAGCCATAATCACATATGTATGCCTTTTTTTCTGGACAAAAATATATATTTTTATAAAAAACTGATCATCCAACTTTAATGACTTCATATATGGACTCGAGAGTGGTAGTAAAGGAATAGACCCAATTATGACAAGGCGATTGAGGGACAGAAAAATCAAGTTCCTCAGGGAAAGAAAAGTATAAAGTTAGAGAGTGAACACATTTGCTCAGCCCTGTGCCAGTCCTCCCACAGACCATCCTGTGACATGGGCTCTCTGACTTGGAAAGGCCTTCAGGGTCTCCTCACCCCAGTAGTGGTGGACTGCATCTTCACTGGGGAAGAGGGTCCTGACTGCTGTGTCTCAAGTGCTCTTGAGTTGCTTCCGGACAACCAGACACTTCACTTTATACATCAGACTTTTTGGTTCTTTTTGTGGGTTATTTAATTAACTGATAAAAGAAAAGGGAACTGCTTAGCATTTTCCATCCCAACATCACCTATTTGCAGCTACACATCCTTCTTCCACTTGCTTCTTTATAATATTTTATTTGCTAAAGTTGGCAAAGTTTGCAAAGGCATCTTGCTTGGGTTGCACAGTTCCAGAAGGCATGGCCATGTTGGGCATGCCCATTCCCATCGTGCCTGTCAAGCCCATCCCCGAGGTTGACATCCCCATGTTCATGTTCATGCCCACCATGCTCTGGCTCATTACTGGGGCGTTTCCCAGAGGGGACATTCCCATGGTGCCCGTCATCACACCAGGCATGTTCATAGGCATGGGTCCCCCCATCAGAGGGTTAGTTTGTGGCCGGACAGGAAGCATGTTTGATGGAGAACTGAGGTTGACAGCTCCAAAGCTTTGAGTCATCACATTCAAAGGCTGTTGCATATCTAACAGAAGAAAGGAGAAAATGACTTTAACCAAAGTGAATTCTTTAGATTCAAAGGGCAGAAAAATAAAACACATTTTCCTGACTGTCTATACTCCCAAACCCAATAAGAGAAGTCAATTAATTTTCCCAGGTTACATTCAACAAAAAACATTGCTACAAATCCATTGCTGAATCCTACATAATAAACTACAAAAGCCAGTGTCTACCAAAAACCTTAAAAAGTTTGTATTCATTTACTCAAAATACTATATGAAGGAGAATATATACAAAATTTCCAGTTTTTAAAAAGTTCAAAACTATTTAAATGACGGGGAAATGCTCAAGAGAGGAAAAGCCATCACATCAATGTCGTTAAATGAAAACAGCAAGAAACAAAACAATATAGACATTCACATTACCACTTGGCACACTGACAGAAGACAACATCCATGAGGCAGGGGACCCTGAGCTGAGAGTTCAGAGGGTTTTGTTTCCTCACCATTGTTTGCAAAAACAGCTGTACAGTAATTTTAGAAATGAACCAACTTTCTATTTTGGCTCACTGTAGCAAGTGCACTGCTGTAAGGATGCTAAGCAAGAGTTGTACTATTGAGCTGTATCTCAGGGCCTGGGTTTTTTTTTAACACAGTCTTGTCATATAGTTCAGGCAGTCCTGGAACTTATAAGCCTCCTACATGCTGGGATTAATGTCATGCACTGAACTTAGAAGTATTTTTATTTTAGAGATCAGGGCCTTAGAACTCACAAATCTTATACCAGAATGTGCTAGTAGAAGGGGTACCGATTGAATTCTGAGCAGAAAAATCTTAGGTGAACACAGTTATCTTCACATACAACCCTACCTGTCCCTGGTGTATGTCATCTATTTGTTTTAATGTAAAAGATCTGAAACACAGACAGGGGCATTTGAGGTAACTTACTCTGTTGTTGAATCATTGTGTTAAGCGATGGCTGCTGGGGCTTGGAAGGCTGCATACCAGGTAGTAAGTTGTCTAGGCTGATGTTGACACTGGGGTCAGACCAAGTGGAGGGCAGGGTTTTGCTGGCCGACTTCTGGACCATATCTGCATTCTGATTATAGAGAGGGTTAGGCTTCTGCAGCACTGCACTAATGTTCTGCAGAGGCTGGAAAAGAAAAGTATGCTCTAGATATCAAGACAACAGCTTCATCATATACTAGCAAATCACTGGATACCTTATGTTAATGACTTCTGTGCCCTGAGATACTTCCTAAACAGAGCCCTCTGAAGACTGGATATTCTCCTGTAACACAATGCCCAGTTCTCTAGAAGGCACTATCTCTGAAAAATCCCCAGGGCCAACCAACTTGAGGTTACTATAGCCCCACCCGATCCCCAGGAAAACAGATTTACTGAGTAGACTCCAAAGAGTAGCACCTGGGCAGGTGGTAAAGAACCAGGTCAGCACAACCAAAGGTGGAGAGGTGGAAATGTAGCCTTACAAAACAGAAAGCAGGCCTGTTTGCTCATGTTATACAACCTAAGCCATCAAGCAGCAAGAATACTTCATAGGGCCTGGCTGGAGCTTCCCAGCTCTGTGCACCTCTACTGCCTCATGTGAGCACCACCAGTGGCACTCATACACACAAGGACTGACAAACGAGAAATTCAGGAGAAAGAAGCAGAGGTTCGTGGTGGCTACTAAAGGTAAGACTTAAAAGGGACAGAAACATGGAGAGAAAATGGAGAAAAAAACCCCACCATGGCAAAGGGTCAGAGAAGGGCAACAAAGGCTGAAAGAAAGCCACTGGCCCTTTCGCACAGTCACCTTTCTGCTTCTTTCTTCCCCTCTTTCATCCCAGTACCCCAAAGATGAGGATCTATACATTAAAATGAGTGATTAGCATCAGAAACATATCAGTAACCCAGTCAAAACTAGCAAGTTCCAGGTACAACTTAGACACTTTCCCACCTCTGTCTGTTCAGATTCTATTGTTACACAATTTATATTTAACTCTTAAAATGTGAATGTAAATACTTTCACTAGTTCTCCTTTATAAAAATGAAGGTTGACAATAGGCCCAGACTAGGGGTAAGATTCATCACTGAGGCAATGGTTTACACAAGTAATCACGTACAGAGATGCTTTGTTAAAGACAGAATCAGGATTTATTGACTATTTTCCATGGGTCAAACAATGCGAGATTTCTTCCCCAAAATGATTTTGTGACCCAAGAGATTTCAGCATGTTTCTTTATGCCAGGTACCATGCTTGTTATTTTAGGGACTACAAGTAGATAACAAGGTCTTGTCCTCTAGAACACATGATTCTACCAAATGACTCAGCGGGTGACAAGCACAACATACAAAACAGGCATGGCCCCCACCTCTACTGTGCAGTCATGTGCCACCTAATGGTGTTTAGGTCCACAGTGAACTATGGGAAGGAGGGTTCCTTGTTGTCTTACACTAACTAACCCATCATCCTATCAAGACATCTTAGCAGGTGTAGTAACAATTCCCAGGGAAAGCAGACAACTTACCTGTGATCTTGACATGGGCAAACCAAGCCCCACAGTGTTAGTGCTCATCAGAGAGAAATTCATACTCTGGGAAGACGTCATGGTTGCCTGGGATGAGCCCATAAGATCAAACAGGTCTGCAGAGTTTGAGGCAGCAGGAGGTGGGCCTAAAGCTGGCTGTGAGCCACCGATGAGTTCTACTGCAGGCTGTGGAGCACTGCCAAAGAGCTCACCACTGGAAGCAACAGGACCTGATGGGGCTTGGTTGAAGGCACTCCAGTCACCAAAGTCTCCATTCCCACTTGTTGCTGTTACCAGGACAGAGAGAAGGCAGGGTAAGAAATGCTCTGAAGTGCACAGAGCAAATGCAAACTCTTCGAACTGCAATTAACTGAAGATGATAGGGCATGCAGGCTAACGTCTGCGGGGCCCCATCTCCATCTGGACATTATCCTTCCTCATGAATATTATAAGAGTGTTAACAAGGTGGCAAAGAAAAAAAGTTAGAACTCTCAAAGTAAAATCCATCTCTTGGAAGTTCTGTTCATAATACATAAAAAGCAGCATGAAATGACTCCAACCAAGTCTGTATTAGTTAAACACATGGGACTCAAAAAGGGAAGAAATTCTATACTGTTTAAGTTAATGCTGGAAGTCAGAAAGCCCTATTGTTGCTCATCATTTACAAGGTGCAAAGAGAAATCCAGCTGCAATTAGTATCCACATAATTGCTGAAATCAAGCTCATGATAAATTTATTAAGAACAAAATAAAAATCATGAAGGATAAAAAGCTAATAAAACAAAGTGTGGACATTTAATAAATTCCTATTAGATGTTCTCACTCTGCTTTTGTTTCCACAGAATACACAAATGCTAACACATAGACTGAGCTCCAACATGCTGACTGCTCAGTGTATGTCAATAAATAGCAAGGGGAACTCATGTTAATTTAAATTTAACTCAATCTGAAGGGGCATGTACCAAAGACTTGGTCTGCAGTTTGTGGCACCAAGAGGCAACTGGATGATGACTATGCTAAGTTTACTGGTGGGCAGTCTAGTGATGAGCTCATGCAGAGTAGGCCATCAGGAGGTGGGACCTGGCTGGGGGAAGGGTAGCCTGTGAAGGGTGTGTTGCCATGGCCCTTTCCTGGCCGCTCTAAGGACAGCAGCTTTTCCACCATAGGTCCACAAGCAAGAACAAGCTGACCTTGGGCCTCTGTGTGTGAGCCAAACAAGCTTCTTTCAAGGCAGTCTTGTTCTGTCACTTGTTCTCTAGCAGCGACAGAAAGCTAACACTTCAAGTTAGCATTAGAAAAGCACCCAATCAGAGCTCATACACCCAGAGACAAATTATTAAAAATTTAGCTAAATAGCTGGCTCCTCTAGACCCTACTTTTCAATCTGTACTGTAGCAATAGAGTACACGCATATGAGGCACCATCTGAGGTCTGATATTGTTACTTTGTATTAACTTGAACAATTCAAGTGAGTGGACCATACAGAAATGTTGCATCTAGTTTTTGAAAAGGCTATATACATAACATTAACTATCAGAAATACACTGATTATACAAGCAAGTCACATTTAAACATTACTTCAATTAGGCTACACATGATTCCAAGTAAATACAACTGTCCTTTAGGAAGGGAAGGGACAAATGCATGAACAGGAAGGAGTCTGTGGCAGTTGAGAAAGCAGAAAGTAAAGAAATGGCCATTTACAGACCATCCTCTGGAGTTTTAAGTGTATAGCTCCATGGTCTTTACAGGTTGGGGGATGCATGTCCAGCCTAAAAGATAACCACCACAGTAGCCCTGTCTCAGGATGCTAAGTATGAGATCTGTCACAGGGTGTCTTTGAAGATTGCACTCCTCAATTACTGTAGAAATATGCAGCACTCTCAGGAGAGAAACCCCAAGATCTGCTGAGTTTTTCAGTAAGAGTGGGGCTACTATTCTCTACTTAGGGTTTTACTATAACCTGCTGTTCATCTTTACAAGACACAGTATTAACCATTTTTACAATTAGTCCTTGATTATTAGATGTTTTAAAACCATTTAAGTAAGGTTGCTCAATGAACGTAAACTTTACCCTGGCTTTCCATCTGCAGGATCCATTAAGCAGAACATGAGTGTAAGTGGGCAAAGCATGTTGCCCCATCTGAAAACTCAGCACTGAGACGATTAATCATGCAGGGACAATATTTCAAATGGTGCAGACACCGTTCAAAAATGATTAATCACTGTTGTGGGTTCAGCCTCGGTGCGGTGCTGATCAGACTGTATTAATCACATGTGTATGGATAGAGATGTATGAGAAGGCTGAACTAACATATTCAAGTTATTTGCATACTAGACAACTTCATATACACAAAAAATGTCAAGGATTACCCAGGGAGCCTGTACAACTAGGCCATGTTTACATTCCACTTTGATATGCCCACAGTAAGGTATCAGCCTTGGAAAGGTACTCCCACACTTCCTGAAGGAAGCAGTTAATTACACAACAGCTCTACTTTTGGGTGAAACACTTGTGAAGTTATAGAAGGATGTTGTCAAAATAACCTACGCTCAATATTATGCATTTTTCTTCCTAACTACTCCATGAACTTACATTAGATATTACTCAATATAAAATTTAATCCAGGTTATTATAACAGCAATGGAGTCTATGTGAACTGAAGAGTAACACTAACTCGGTTACATAACCTTTTTCCCCCCACCCCTAAAGGTTCTGATTCTCACAGCTATTTTTTAGGCGCTTTCTCTCACTGGGGGCCACTCAGATTCTATGAAAAACATACCAGAACTCCTTCACAATCTGTAGGAAAAAGACATAAGGACTTTAGTCTGCACTCTACATATCTCTACAGATATAATGATCTATATAAGGAACCATGGTAGGTGGTGTTTATTCTTAGCTTGAGAAAGCTGCCCATTTTCATTCCTGGAAAATCAGGTCAACTAAGAGAAACACTAATTACTGTATTTTTCCTCTAAAATGGGACCCTGTGTATTTACACTCATCCCTGTAAGAATAAACAAGAGTGTGTTATGGATATGGGTAGTTTTTGTTAGCTTAGTTTGAGTAGTATACAACTAAGTTAACTCATCTAGCACATCTAAGACACTGACCCAATTTATCTTGTGAATAAATTGATTGGGAATTATGAATTATAAATATCACAGGGACTAAAAATGCCAGCTAGTAGCTGTATGTGTCATCTTTTCTGATAATTTTTTACAATCTCTGGTTGTGGACAATCAAATCATCTCATACCTTGGGAAGGGAAACTGCCTGATGCAGCAGCTGAGCCAAAGTCAGCAAATCCCCCGAATAAATCAGTTGATCCTCCTAGAAGGCAAAAATGGGGACAGTGTTTTAAACTGCTTGAGCTGAGGAACAATTATAAACAATTTCAGGAATCCTTTTCAAGAAATACACAAAAATAAGCCACAGGAGAGGCCCATGCCCTGGCCTGTTTGCCTGTGGTTCTCCCAGCCATAATTCATAGATTCTGAGACATTTTGACATTTCTTCCTCCAATTTGTTAAAACCTTATCCCTCACACATACTCTCAGCGTACACACACACACTGAAATTAACCAGACTAAAAGTTCACTCATCTCAATGAAGTTCTATACAGTCAGAATAGCCATTCCGAAGCTGTGGCTCTTCACATGGGATTTTACTGTCAGATGTATTTGTACGCATTTAACCACTACCAAAAAGTAAATATTCCATGTCAGAGTTAAAACCAGAAAAACAACTAACTGTATGTATATCCTCCTTCTTTCACAAATGGTAGAGCAAACCATGGAACTAACAAGATACACATATTGGGGGAGGGGCGGTGCTGTTATATTTTTATTTGTGCATGTGTGTTTGTCTACATGTATGCAGGTACCCAACGAGGTCTGAAGAGGACATCAGATTTCCTTGGAACTGGAATTGCAGGAGGTTGTGATATAGGTGCTGGGAACTGAACTTGAATCCTCTGTAAGAGCAGTGTATGTTCTTAACGACTGAGTCATCTCTCCTGCCAACATATTTCAATGTTGTTGTTGCTTTTGGTTTTTGTTTTACAAGACAGGGTGTCTCTGTGTAACCCTGACTATCCTGGAACTCGATCTGTAGCCAGGCTGGCCTCAAACTCACAGAGATCCACCTGCTTCCTGAGTGCTGGGATTAAAGGTGTGTGCTACCATCACCTGGCTTACACTTCAGTGTTTTAAAACAAAAACTTGGGGGGGGGGGATTTTAAGTTAGTCTGCATAAAAATCAATTTAAACAGACAATGTATGCAATAATATTCCCTGGAAGGTTGCCTTTTCTCTCTTGCTCACTCCACAAAAGATTAAATACTTTTTTAATACATGGGGGGGGGATATAAGCTTTTTACTTATTATCATCATCATTAGTGTGTGTGTGTGTGTGTGTGTGTGTGTGTGTGTGTGTGTGTGTCTGGCACAAATGGGGAGGTTATAGGTCAGGATCCAGGGACAAATTGAAGTTATCATGTTTGTGTAATTTGAACCATCCTGTCAGCCCTTGTCACTAATGCTAAACTGTTGTTTTCAAAATGGCAAAACCACAGCTACTGGACCATTCCCTTCACAATTTGTACACTCCAAAAGTAAAAGATTTACTTTTAAGATCTAAAACTTTAAGTTCTTAAGAGTCAGAGCCTTAAAAGTCTAGAGCAGCAGCTCAATTATAGTCTTTCAGTGTTATGTGAACATTACACAGGTTACATCACAGCTGCTTAGCCTGAAGTGCTCAGAAACTAGCCAGGTGGGACTGCAACATCTGGGAAGCACTCAAAGACCACCAGGGACAGCTTCTAACATCTGGTGCCTTTTCTGAATTGTTTTATCGCTGCAAGACATTCTATCCCATCTGCTACATTCAGCTGGGTTAATTAAAGTATAACCCCACCCCTTCTAAGATGGCCATCAAAATAAAGGGAAGAATCAGTTCCTGAAATTTATGTGTTGTTCTTCCTTTTAAATGTACATTTACTGTAGGCAACTATCAGCAGGCATGACTAATTCTCCCGTCCTTCCCCACACCATACCACCACAAGCACTCAAATACATCCTCACAGTAGCCAGCTATCGCCAACCACAGGCTATGCAGCTCTGCACTCCTTCCAACACAACTCAGTAGCTCAGGAGGCTACTTTTAACATTCACCCAGAGGGCAGCAGCAAAGTCATTTCTATTTTTGTTTTTTCTTTCCTTACAGATACGTGGGACAAGATAAAATGCTATGAGCACCAAGAGCAGTGAGCTAAATGTGCACACTACAGAGAAGCACATATTAATACAAGTTAGTAGGGAAATGAATGCTGCGAAGAGTTAGTGCTTACTGTTCATGTTTGTTTCTATGTTCCTTCATGTTAAACATTCTGATAAAAGTATACCGCTAACAGAATGATAATTATTATTACCAATAAGGGATTTCAAAACAGATTATTTTAATTTGCTTCATGTAAGCAGTGGATAAACACCAGTGAGTAATTTCTATGCTAAGCAAGTACACACCATCAAATCTGACCTAGTCTAAAGTTGTAAGAAAAATTCACGCTGCAGATAAAAGCACAGATAGAAGGTTTCCTGAATGTGGTATTTTAGGTGTATCGGTTGTTTCCCTTCTCCCACCTACAGGAAAACTACACACATCAAACATCCGCAGCAACTCCTACCCACTCCACCCACTCATATGTGGCTTTGGTTTCTAAATGACTTGAGGAAGGAGTAGTGAGAATGGGTACCAATACTCTCTGGCATGGATTTGACCTTTAACTGTAAGGTGTATTTCTTCAGGGGCAAGCTTCTCTGAGGAGGGAGAAGCATGACACTCTAAGAGCACAAGTGCCTAAGCTCCAGCACTTCCATGTCCCCTCTGGAAATACATGGAAGACTCTGTTAAGAGTGCTACATGAGGAAGGCCACAGCTTCTCTGAACGCCGTTCTTGCAGATTCCCACATGAGAGCTGTCATCATAAATGAATCATGTCCTTCTGCCTTTCCAGGGCAGCAAGGAGGTTATTTACAGTCACCAGCTGGGAACATGAAATTCCCAGAGCAATACTGAGAACAAGAAAAACATGGTCAGACAATGCTTAAACTAAAATGAAAAATTAAAAAGATCCACTGCATTAAAAACTGAAGAGTTTTAATATATATATATATATATTAATTGACTAATGAGACAAAGAACTTTTAAATAATCAGAAGAATGAATACCTCCACTAGATAAAAATAAAAGGAGCCCAGACCATCAGTAGGCAAAGTCATAACCAGCCGATAAAATACAGTGTGTTCAAACCCAGTACTCAAAACGAAATGTGATTCTCTTTTCATAAAACAAAGATTCTGAAAGGTGTAAATGTACTTGGTTTGGAATACAGAAGAGTTTAGGGAAACCTCAAGCTAAGAAGACCGAAGTACAGAAACCAGAGCTCCTTAGGTTAAATAACTTACAGACAACGGCTTAAATCACAGCAATTGCTAGAGACAAGTGGAAGGAAAAGGTCAGAAGACAAGGTGCCCTCAACTAGAAGCCACAAAGCTTTGCCACACAGCAAGTGCTAAAGTTCATCTGACACAGTACACACTGAGAACTGCAGGGGGGAGGCGGCCTGCACCTGAGCACCTGAGAGGCTGATTCTTTCATCATGACCACCATCAGTGGAACACTCACTAACAATAACTTACAGTAAACCCAGCTTAAAGATAGCTTCTACCTAATGCAGGCTGATGTGCTGATGCTGCCCAACAGAGCTTCAGACTGGCTGCAGTCTGGGCTGCATGACAAAGCCTCATCTTTTACAAAGAATAGTCAACAAAAATTGTTCTTAGTTGCCTTAATTCAGTGGAAATTGGTTGTTTCCTACATTTAAAAAGTGATCATAACCATCACCATTGAACATTCACTAACAATAACTACAACAGTAAACTCAACTTTCCACATTTAAAAAGTGAGTGTAGGGGGCTGGAGACATGGCTCAGTGGCTCTGCTCTTCCAGAGATCCTGAGTTCAATTCCCGGTAACCACATGGTGGCTCACAACCATCTGCAATGAGATCTGGAGCCCTCTTCTGGCATACATGCAGACAGAACGCTGTATACAAAATAAATGCATAAAATCTAAGAATAAATAAAGGAAGGAAGGAAGGAAGGAAGGAAGGAAGGAAGGAAGGAAGGAAGGAAGGGAGTGTAGCTGGGAGGTGGTGGCACATGCCTTTAATTCCAGTATGTGGGAGGCAAAGGCAGGTGGATCTCTGAGTTCAAGGCCAGCCTGGTCTACAAAGCTACACAGGGAAACATTGTCTTGAAAAAAACAAACAAAACAAACAAACAAACAAAAAAACCACAACAACAAAATGTGAATGTAATCATTCATCATGACCACCATCAGTGGAATACTCACTAACAATAACTTACAGTAAACCCAGCTTAAAGATAACTTCTACCTAATGCAGGCTGATGTGCTGATGCTTCCCAACAGAGCTTCAGACTCATCTGAAACGTAGTCAGTTTCAAACAGTAATGGAAAATTTGTACTTCGCATATTTTGTTTTTTACTTGAAAAAAAGAATTTAAAATATACCAAGCTATATTAATTCCCCTCTCCCCCTTTTTCTTTTGGTTTTAAAGACAGAGTTTCTGTTTAACAGTCCAGGCTGCCCTAGAACTTGCTTTGTAGATTAGGCTGGCCTCAAATTCACTGAGATCTGCCTGCCTCTGCCTCCCAAGTGCTGGGATTAAAGATGCATGCCACCATCACCTGGCTTAACACTTTTTTCTAGTTGTACCGGTGACATGTTTTTCCACTTTCAAGAGAAATACAACTTATGGAACAGTAAGTTAAGAGCTAAATTTCTTAATCACAGAAATACAAATCCTACAGAGTGGGCTCATACTAACAGAAATGCAACGGTTTTAGCACTGTTTTTAATTGGGTTATTTTCGAACTATAATACCTATTTGTTAGCATGGACGGAGGCAAATGCTCCCTTAGAAATGAGCTGCCATGTAGGAGGCACTGAAACATCATGCTTGGAGACTGTGATGGAAGATCCCAACAGGAGTCACCAAAACAATCTCAAGGACAAGCTGACAGCCTAAATTCTGCATGTGCACTTTTAAATTTGGTCATAGTCCACAATGATTTTAGCAGATATTCTTTGTAAAATGCTAGCAACGAAGATGTTCTCTCTCTCATGTGCGCGCGCACGCACGCACACGCGCACACACACACACACACACACACACACACACACACACACAGAGGCAGGGAGAGGGACAGAGCAGAGCACCTGGGTGTGGCTGATAGAGACTTGTCTGATGAGAGGTGAAGATGTGCATCTGCTTACCTTGCCATCTGTGACTATATTACTGGCATGGCAGTTCTATGATAAATACAAGGGCATCTGGCATATCCTTACACACTTTCATATGCAAGTGCTAAGATTTAAACCTAACTTCCTTCTGTGACAGAACTTCATTTAAGGTCTATAGTTGAATATACTATCTCAAATGGAAATTTTAAAAAGTAATTCTCATGTCAAACCATGTTCAGATAATATGATAAAATTTAAGGGCAAGAAACTTTCCAGATTTCATTTAAACCCTGACTCAGTTACTATATTAACTGCTATTCAAATACAATTAGTCTACCATTTACACCAGAGAAGAAAAACCACTCAAAGGTTTCTTTCCGCTCAAAGTCATCTTGGGATCACAAGAGTTACATCCACACATCTGACCTTCCTAGACAGTTAATTCTTCCTTGACTGCTCCAGAGATGCCCAAAAGGGCCTTTCAACATTTTATAATGGGAAGTCCAAAATAATTGATATTCCGTGACACTATATCTACATTAGATAGCTGTATGCTAACTACCAGTTCGCAGTATAGTTCAAATCTTAGACAAAAAAGACAGCACATCAGTTGTTAAGCAACCAATGAGGATACAGCAGTCTTACCAAGTTACAGTAATTTTACAATAGTTACAGAAGAGACTGGTTAAGGAACTGAAGAATCTCAGAACTGGGTCAAACCAGATTATCTTCCAAGTTTATTCCTAGGCCAGTAATTTTATGACAGCAGGCAAGAAAGAATCAGATGTACTAATCTATCAGTGAAAAGCAATTTATATTATGAACTTATGCTTAAAGCAAACAAGCAAGTTTAAAAACAAGTTTTGCTTTTGAGAATTATTACACATATTTAGGAAACAGCTGCACTTTGCACATTAGTTACACTCCAATCCTGCTGATCTACATTTAAATGTAATGGACTTTAAAAAGCCTTAGAAGAGCTATTTTCAAAAAGCTCCAATTCTGAGTTGCTTTTACTTGGAGTACAGTGGTTTAAGACTACACTCATCAAGTGCAATGCTATGGTATCAATTTACTTGAAATCAATTTATTAGGAGTTATTTAAAATATAGCATACATTGGCTATCACAACGAAGAAATCCTCGTCTCATCAATGAGAAAGGCTTGGCTTGCTATTCCATGTGGTGTTTCCCCCTTCTCTCTCTTCTCCTGACAGCTCTGTGTCTGTTGCCCAGGCTGCTCTGGAACTCCTTAGGTGACCCCCCCACCCCCAAGAACTGTAATTATAGGCATGTGCATTCTGCCCTGGCCATAGCCCTCTTAACAATATGCTTGATGGGGAGTTATATACATATTCACATAATGCCCCCTTTCCTCCAAAGCACCCAGCATGTTTATAACTAAGTAATTACAGTCAATTACCGCCCTTTGACTAATGATTACTTCCTCCATTTGACTTTTCCAAGAGCCTAAGAATTCCATTTTAAGCACCCAACCAGTGTCTGGGTCAGCAAATGCTTGCTGACAGATGAACAAGAAGGTAATGAACACAGGGCCTATCTGCTTTGACAACCACATGAAGGTTTAGGGAAAGTCATGAAAATGTACAAAGTAACACATCTTTGTGTAAAAAATTATAAAATGTTAATTTTAATGTAAGTTTTCACATCTGCAAAATTATTCTTAAGAGCTTAAAATATAAACTACAAAGCCTCCAAAATCTTTGTGGAAAATTTCATACGTATATTAAACTCTGAAGAGGAAGCAGCATAGAGAGGAGTAAGTTGAGACATGTTACAGTGATCTGCGGACATATTTACCATTCACTAATACTGGTGACTACCACAAACAAGGGTTTTTTTTTTTTCCCTCAAAGCCTAAAGGTCAGAAAAAAAGTATAAAATGGAGTGAGATACTTTTCAAAGAAAGCTTTGAGAAATGAGTGCATGCATATAAGATAAAAATAGCAACAGTAACTCCACAGACAGACTCACAAAGGCCATAGGCACTGAAGACAATAGGGGCAGAAGCTACCAAACAACCATCTTCCTCATTAGGCAGTTATGTAATTCTCTCCAAACAGCACTGAGTGCTCATCAATGTCATATTAGCAAATCTGGAAGTATTTTTTGCAGGACTGGAGAGATGGTCCAGAGTCACACAAATGCTTGGCAAGTGCTCTACCAATGAGCTATATTCTCCAGACCCCTTATTTGGAGACAAGGTCTCTTTAGGTTGCCCAAGCCGGCCTTAAAATTGTAATCTTTCCTGCCATAGCATCTTGAGTACTAGCGATTATGGGTCGGGCCTGTATAACCAGACATGGTTTATTGTTTAGAGACAGGATCTCTCTACATAGCCCTGGCAGTCCTGGTTCCCACTGTGTAGACGACGCTAGTCTTGAACTCTCACAGATCTGCCTGCCACGGCCCCCCCCCCCCCAAGTGCTGGGATTAAAGGTGTGCACCACCACACCTGGCAAGAACTGTTTTTATTTCATCCTTCATATAGCATTGTAAAGAAACTAGCAGAAACTACAGTTCATGGAAAGAAGAAGCCAATGTGTGGCTTACCTGCTGATTGGCTGTTGCCATCAAACAGGTCAACGAGGTCCCCTGATGACTTGCTGCTCGGCACTGATGGCTGAAACGGTGGGAACAGTGAGCGAGTTTACAAAGAACTCCAATGACAATCCCCAATCTAGACAGACATTCTGTAATCATCTAAACAAGGCTAGATTTAGATTTCTAAAAGAAGCAACAGGCCTTGAATCCTTTTAGAGGAAGAGCAAGCATAAGCACTGTGAAGTCCTAACATGTGTCTCTTTCTTTCCCTCTGAATAGGCTCCCCACCCCCAATCTTATAAAGTTTTATTAAAGAAATATGTATGTGTGTATATCAATGCATACACAAGTGAAGGTGGTGTAGAGTTCAGAAGGGGACAGCAGCTCTCCCGGTGCTGGGATACTGTAAGGGGGCTGTGAGCCACCCGATGTGGGTCTACAAAGGCAGTACATATTTCTCTATAGCATGGTCTTGCTATATATATAGCCTAGGGTGGTCTTGAACTCAATCCCACTGCCTTAGGTTCCCAAGTGCTGAAATTACAGGCATGCATGACCAAACCAAGTTCTAATATCTGAATTTTAACTCACTTTTCTTCTGTTAATTTCAATCTGGGTAACACTGCATTTCATACCAACCATGCTACAGCTGGCTCTTTTATCATGTCTCCAAATTTTCAAATATGCCCATACTTTCCCCAGTGAATGTGGTTGAGATTGGTGATGCTCGTGTAATGAGATAGGCACAGATAGGCTACACTGGGATTCACAAGCTCCCTGTGTGGATGACAGTGTTATTTTTACCTCACAGGAAAAGTCATTCAGCACTAGGAGTTTCTTACCCTAAGGTCTCTTGCTATTAATGACTGAATAGGGCATGCCAGATGAACTACAACCAAAATGACCGGTTAAAAGGCCCCAGCTTACAAAGGCAGGAATTCTGAAAGTAGTTTATGAGAATGAGGCAAACATGCCCATGTTGTTCACACCTTCGCTGAAGACTGAGGCGTGTGGGTTGGAGCATTCTGATCCGGGCTGGCTTTGTCGCCTGTGTAATGTGCTGCTGCTCCAAGATCAATGGTTTTGGAAGGGTTTGCTGTGCGCTTGTGCCTGGTTGTGGTGGTCTCCGTGGCTTGTGTGATATGGATATGCTTCGTTGTCACCGTTTCCTCTTCGTCTTTGAATTCTCCTTTGGGAGATCTGCCTCTTCTTGCTTTCTTTTCTTCATCACTGTCACTAAAAGATTAAAAATGAAACAACATAATAAAACTTGGGAATATCCTAAGAAGGAGTCCTTAGTGATTCGAGTGAAAGAATTTCAAATGCACTAATTCCAAAATTTTACTCTGACAGGATCAACACAATGATATTTAGGCTGCTGAATAATGATGTGTATGTATTAGGGGCGTGCACAATTTCCTAGTAAAGTCTAAAACACCCTATATTTTTCCCCGAGCAAAAGAATGTCTAAGCTACCTTAGTGTTTGTTACAGATTTAAAACTTAACTAGTAGATGAAATAGCAGCACGATATCAGAACCTGCTGCTGGACCCCAGCATCTCAGGTAATATAACATTCACAGTCTGAAAATATATTGTGCAAATGTCTACAATACTATTTTTTTCCTCTTTGTCTTAAACATTATTACCAACTTTCTTAAAAGAATGTCATGTAGTCTTAGATGGTTTCTATCTCACTATATAAAGATGACCTTGAACTCCTTATCTTCCTGCCTCTGCCTCCCAAGAGGTCAGAGGCTATGATGCCATACCAAGCTTTTACAGGTCTATTTGAAGAACTCAGCTTGTTAGTGATTCTCATGCAGGAACCCAGGGAACATAACAGAGTAACTAAGGTGAGGCATAGGGTGCACCCTTTGTAACCCTAACACCTGGGAGGAAAGTTGGGAGCTTATTAAGGTCATCCTTGGCTCTACAATGAGGTTAAGGCCAGTTTACGCTACCAGAGACTGTCTTGGAGGGAAGGAAACAGTAAAACTTCAATGTCAGCTTAAAACTGTGCTGTGTAGATCATTACCTGAAAATGATACAATACGATGCAATCTTTTTTGTAATTGTGCTTCATTTTGCTATTCTGTCACATCACACATGACCTGTCAACTGTGCTTTGTAGAAACAGCTATATTTAAAATATTTCTAAACAATTATTTTATTCAAGTTAACACTGCAAGTCAACCAATCAAAACCCCCACAAAAGCAAGCCCCCTAGAAAGCAGGAAACTAGGATTTTCATATGTTGGGAATGAAGAGTCCACTAGAATATCAAGCCATTGAGTTTCTGTTTGGCTGCAAGTAGGAGGGGAGAGCGCCATGAGAACATGAAATATGTTCCATTACCTATATTACTTAATTGTAGAGTAGGCAGTTTAATTTGTAAGTATCCTGGAGCAAAATGCTTGGATTTCTCCCTCAAACTATGATTATATTGATGAAATGTAACTGTAATCTAAAGCAATCTCAACTTAAATACAAGTAAGCACAGCACATGGACTGGCAAGAAGGCTGGAGATAAAGCCCTGAACAAAGGGAGAGCAAGAGAATCAACCCCACAAGCGGTCCTCTGACCTCTACTATATCCCTTTGTCCCATGGCATGTGTGTAGTGTGTACTCCCGTGGGGGGGTGGGGGGGGAAGAATGGCTTCCCACACAAAGCAGAAGAATTAAATATCTTTTTAAATGGAAGGATTTTAAGGAACAATCAAGTTCTGATAATTACAAATAAAGCAAACAACAACAAAATGACCTCAAGATTGTATCAATAACCGTGAAAGTAAAACTGATGTGTGACATCTAATTTTATTTCAATGCAAGATGATACTTAGAACATTCAAGAACTCCTGATGCCAATAATGAATTAACGGTCAAGACTCTGGTCACACACAACTGTCTAAAATATACTGTTTTCTCATCAATACTCTGAACTGCAACATGCACACATCTAAATGGTATTTGGAATATAGTCTATCTAGACCTTTAACTCTGAATATGCAGGGCCAAAGGTGTAGGAACCTCTGCCCACCCTGCCTCAGTGGGAATGTAAGGAAGAACAACTGATGACAGCAGTGCCCTGGCCAGAACCACTCAGGCAAACATGGGAAGCAAAAACAGAGCAGAGACCAAGGCAGAGAAGCATCCCCGAGGACAGGAGGGCAGGAGGAGGAAAGAAACAGTGTGGGACTACACACCACTGTATCACTAAGACCCTACCTTACTCCCATATCAGAAATAGCAATGAAACACTCAGCTGCTATGTTTTTCAAGTCAGATCAAAACCTTTTATATATAGGCCATAAGAGTAAGGGAAGCTAGGAGAGTACTCAGACACTGTTTTCTCAAAGTTCAGTGTTTAGAATTAAAACATGCAGGCCTTTGGGAGCAAGCACACAGGCTCCTATTACTGACATAAACTCTGTCCCTTCAAAGACCATGTTCTGACAAGTCTTGAAAAGATCATTCTAGAGATTTAATGACTCTGCAATGACACTGAAAGCACACCAAAAGTGGGTGTTTTAAAGCCTATTTTAAAATCAGATAATGTTTTTTATTTGAATTTCAGTTCCACACACCCTAAAACCAAACTATTAGGAATTTATGGGCAGGAAAAAGATGCCATTTAGTTTTAAAAACAAACAAAAAACTAATTTTATATTGGTCCGCACAGTCTGAATGGACCTCTTGTTTTATTTCTATTGTTTGGTGTAAGTTCAACATAACCACCTACATCAGAAAATAATGTTTATAAATACAGGCCTGTAGTGCAACTCTAGGTACCAACTGTATAGATTCTTCTGGTCATGTGGGCATAGGATGGTAATGCAATATCTCGGGTGCTTAATTGTAGCACTTAACTTTCTCTAAAACTTAGTGCGTAGGCATCATTTCCCCGACATTATTTTAGACCATGGAATCATCTGATGTCCAAACATAAAATGGGGAATAAAAATTGTATCAGGGAAAGAAAACTTCAGGGCAAGACTAAGATGCCTGAAGAAAAATGCAGAAGACAGATGAATCACTATAGAAACAGACAGGTGTGGACGGTGTGGAAGAAGTGTGAACACAGAGTACTTCTACCTGACCTAGTGTCATGAGACATGTTTGTGTGTGGGATGACTACCAGCTTCATGAATGCTTCTCCACTTTTCTTGCACAGGGCATTTCCAGGGAGTTGACATCACTCTGTAAGACATTACTAGAGAATACCCAACATGTGCCAAACTGCACATCAATAATGGTTTTTCAGTTAACAAATATTATCGAATTTAAAACAATTATGCTGAAACTTGGGGAAAGGACAGGGGTTATGTTGCAGCCTTCCACTTTATGACCAAGTTTCATGTGTCCTTAAGACTCCTTTAACAAAGTCTGTTAAAAAAACAAAAAGCTAAACTTCAGATAACATCAATATCTCAAAACCAGACAAACCCAAACTAAACAGCTGCATAAAGCCTGCGCCCCCCAAGGGAGCGGTGGAGAAGGTAGCACACCTGCACCGTTCCGGAGAGTCCTCCCGGTCTTTCCTCCGAAACTTGCTGATGGTGTCGTCGATTGTGCTTCCGATCTTATCGCTCAGCTCCCCTAACTTATCACTGAATGGAAATGCACTCTTGTTTTTATCCCACTCCTCATCCCACTTGGACTTGGGCTCAGGATCATATCTTTCATCTGTGTAAACAAAGAAACAATCAAGGATATTAAACTTGGAGGGTTCCACAACCCTTCCTTCTGAAGACTTTCTCATAAAACATTATTTTTAAGAGAAAACAGAGATCTCCCACAGAGCCACACCAGCACTGCATGGTGTATCTCATGCCAATCATCTTGTCAGGAACACAGATTCAAAGCTTTTCTACATGAGAGCTTCACAGCCTTGATGGGTGACAGCAGTCATGACGCCCCTGAACCCTGCTGTAGAGAAGGAGCAGGAATACAAAATACACACTCCACAAACACAAGATGAAGGAAAATCTTTCTAGTTTTAAGTCATTTAATGAATTATATTTTATTCTTGTTTCAATGGTGTTTCAATTTTAGAAAATTATGAGCCAATAACATCTTTTAAAAATAGACAGTAAATCGAGGGGCAGGGAGCAGGGAACAAGGTTGAAAGAGTGAGCACACACATGCAAAGCAAGCTATCGAGACATGAAGACAAGAGGCTATACTCTAGACTGCTCCTGACTAAAAGCTGAGTGATCATGACACCACCTGTTCAAGGCCACCTAGTGAACTGTAACACAGTGAGATGCCCTCTCAAAAACAGTGAAAGAGGAAGGACAGACAGACAGACGAACAGAAAGCTTAACTGAGCAACCAACCAATCTACTCTAAAAACACTAGTTCCCTAAAGGACCTGAGTCTGACTTCTGTGACCTAATTAGTTGAAATGACCCTGGAAACAACGTAACTGAATGGATTTTATGGGCTGGGAAAGAAATCTGTAATTTCCATTAAAAAAAAGTTCCAACTTTTCAAACCTTCCCACTTCAGAACTACAAACAAGCATGTCCAGCAGCTCTGAGCTAATGACCCATCAGAGTGGCTGAAAACACACATGGAGAACCGCTGGAGTAAAGAAAGGACTACAGCGCAGCGATGAAAACACAAATAGCATGATCTGCACTGGTGCTTGTCTGGAGATCAATGAAGAGATGTGAATTATGGACACAAGTAGAAATCACCCATTTTCATCTCCAAATTTAACTTTAAAAGCAAAACTGGGATCTAGAGATATCACATGAGGTTTGAAAAAACAAACAGTATGAACACTGGCAGGTTAGGAAGCGATTAGAAAGGGCAATGGGAAACAAAACAGGACAGCAAAAGGGAACTTCTACTCAGAAGTTTACCTTGTTTACATGGTGTGATGGCAGAGGCGCCATTTGGAAAAGTTCTTAAACATCTACTGCTGAACTGCCAGCTAGAACCTCAAGGCTTAATTTTACATAAGAGCTTAAAGATTTTAAAATATGTGTAGCAGGAGCTGGGAACACAGTTCTGAGAAACGGTCCAGGTCTCATGAAGCCTGGGTTTAAATCCACATGCTGCAGAATGAATGGATGAAGGTCATCACCTACTGTCAGAAGTAAAACCACACAAAATAGCTGAAGCTGTTAAGAAATCCAAAATCATTAATAAAAAACAAAGACTGTTAGTGCAAACACAGGCTAGCCCACTGTGACCCTGTCTACAAACTCACTCAACTTTCTAAATTCATCAGCTACAATTACGTACTGTGATGATAACAAAATGGGACATAAATACATGGAAGGAGGAAATAAGCTCAAAGTGGCAATTCAGCGATGCAGAAAAAGCCAAGGAACAAAAATCTAAAGCCTTTTCGTGATCTCAGAGAAGTCACTCCAAGACTTAAGAGCTTACTAGAAGAGACATACATTCCTATGCCCATCAATTCATGGCATGGCTTTTATGAGATATATATGAGCTGACAATATAGTCAGTCGCCCATCTTTTCCTGTGTTATACATTGTGTAATTAAGGAGAGAACTGAGGCTTCCTGGACTTACAGAAACATAAATGTTTGGAACCATAGCTAAACTGGTTTTGAACTAGAAAGACCAATCTCATGATTAAACTGGCTTGCTGGAAACTGTTAGAGGAGCTTCCCTTCTATAAGAACGCTAATCCTAAAGAGGGTGTGTGCTCTTTGTTCTCTGGTTAACTCAAAATGTGTGCATTTATCTAACTAGCCATGGTCTCCAAACCCTATTCTTTGGATCCACAATAAAAGCAGAAAAGGTTCCAAAGATCCAGGCAAACAGGAGTCAAAGTATTACATATATTTTAGAATTTTTTTTTTTGGGGGGGGGAGGTATTTCAATGAATTTTAAAATACACCCAGGCTAAGAAGCAGAGGCCCAGGTGGCCGTGGCCTGGCTCTGATACTCACTGTATCTGAATCCGCCAACGCTGTCTGAGGAGACCCCAACATACTTGTCTTTGTTCTTCTTTGCTTTCTTTCGTTCTTCTCGAAGCCTGTCATCATCCTGTGCAAATTCAACCAGTTCCTTAACTTTCTGTCGAATATTTATACCTTGATCCTTGCCATGCTCATCTTGAGGACAGTAAAGGAAAAAGCAGACTGTAAGAGCTCTCTTAGTGTGTACCAAACTGTTTCAGAAATGAATAGACATGAAGACAGCTACAAAAGTAGGAGGCGGATTATGGCATTAAATTCTATCTTGACTTGATGACCCTAGACAACAGAACTAGACAAGATCAATACATGAATCCATGATCTACTGAAAGGGTTACAAATGGTGAACACAGAATGCATAGAGCTGAAAGTGTTTTCTATCACATTTTAACAAATAAAAAAGGAAGCAATCACTTTTAACATTCTGATGGCCCAAATGCACCCCAAGTATCTTGATTTTGCCAAGTTTGGGAACATTAACTAGGGTTTAGTGTAGCTAAATCCTGACATTTTACAGTCATTACAAGTAAAGCAGGCTACAAAATGAAATGCTAGCCGCCCTCTGCCACTTTCACATTCAGAACACACTCTGGCCTGGCTGTCGAGGCACACACAGTAAATACTATCTGGTGGGAGGGGGCCCAGCTTCAAACAGATGTGTGTGTTTTGGAGCTCTAACCTTCTCTTCCCACATGATTAAAGCTATTCCTTTATGGACACCACAGGGGACTAGTCTCCAGTGCATATTTTAATATAAACCCCAACACTCATGTTGTGTTGGTTCTGTTGTTATTAGCCAGTCCTTTCTGCAAGCTCCTGTCTTCACTAATTAATACTCTAGGGCCCCACGCCTTGGATTCTGCACTCGTCACACAACCAGCAAGAGTCACATGCTAATTAGAGCAGAGAAGCTTCCAAGCTGGTTCAGGTGACTGACAACTCCAACTACTGTTTTAATTTGCTTATGAGGGTTTTCTATTGCTCACCTACAAAGTGGTAATTTTCCAGGGATCGCAAATCATAAATGTGCTCTCTTGCGCTTGTAACAACTCGCTCCGATCCATTTCTTATGAGGTAAGCTAGGAGCAGCAATGACTGTGAAAATATAAAGCACCAAATAACTCAATGGCATAAGCTCTGGAAGAACTCTGGTACACAGCTAAACACAAACACAAAACTCCAACATTACTAGATAGAAAAACTTCATAGTAGTGGTGGGGAGTATGTCCTTCCCTTTCTGTTAGACCAAAACATATAGTTTGAACTTCAACCTGAAATTCCTCTGATATCTAATATAGTAAATAGCAAACTATCTAGTCAATGGCCACTTTAAATCAAGATTTGAAAAACAAACACACCCAGTAATTCTGATATTCAACCCTAAAGGTATGATTCAAATAAAACAGGTGATTTGGGGGATTGGCCCAGCTTTCACTGTAGGCATTACAGCTGAGACACCAGGAACTTGGGAAGATGGGTCTGTCTCTCTACAGGACCCTGTACCACTGTCCTCAGATAAAATCTCATTCCGATGCTAATCAGGTTTAAAAAAAAAAAAAAAAAAAAAAAAAAAAGAAAAAAGAAAGAAAAAGAAAAACTGGGCATTTTAGAAAAATTTGCTAAAATGTCAACTTCAAGGATGCTGAGGGCCTGTGGCTTCTGTTGCTGTATGGCTGGGTGCTGAATTAGGCAGTGCTGACAGTGCTGACTCTTGTACAGTTTTGTGAACACAGTAGGGACTCTCTCTTGCTTTTTGATGGGAAACTTCATTTCACAATGATTCCATGTCTGAGGGTCTCTGCAGGATGGTGAAACCAAGAGTATAAATGTATATTTTACTAGTAACTGAGTTTTGGGGTTGGTTTTGAGACAGGGTCTTACCATGAAGCCCTGGATGGCCTATAGCTCATAGTAGTCCTCCTGCCTCAGCCTAAGTGCTGAGGTTATAGCCCTGTGTCACCATACTCAGATTTCTTGATTTTTTTGAAATAGTACAAAATTTAAAAGCCCCCATTTTAGAAAAATTTATATAATTTATAGAAATCCCAGAGAATATTTTAACAAACAAACATCATAAAAACAAAACAGAATAGAATTTGCTGGACTTGACAGTATACAGCTTTGATCCTAATACTTGGAAGGCAGAAGCAGACAGATCTCTATGATCAAGGCCAACCAGGCTACATAGAGAGACATTGTCACCTCCCTGAGCCCCAAATTCATGGAATGATGAGGGGTGTCTGAAGAGGAGGCTTAGTGGACAAAGTACTCCCTATGAATGCATGGAGACAGAAGCTCAGGTCCCCATCACCCACATAAAAAGCTGGGCAGGTCTGGCTGCCACCTGTAATCCTAGTGCTCAGGGGATAGGGTCCCATGGCAAGCTGACTGCACTAGCTGAGTTAGAAAGCTTGGGGTCCAGTGAGACCCTGCTCAGAAGATAATGTGGAATGCCTGAGGAAGACACACGAGGCAAAACTCCTGCCTCCACACACATTCAAACACACTCATGCACACCACTCTTACACACTCAACAATTGTTCAAAAACCTCCAGCTAATCCCAAGAGTCAAAATATCTCAAGCCTCAAACGTGAGTACTGCATTGGCATGCAGCGTGTTAGTACAAATCCTATTGGGCACATAGCATACTTTGAAAATAAATTTTGAGGAGCAAGAAAACATGATGAAAGAGAAAGGCCACCACCTTGTTTTAGAAATACACAATCAAAACTAAATGAAATGAATCTTATGAAAAGTACATTTATAGATAAAAATGTCAGGAAGCTGGCATATTCCAGTCTCAGTTAGTAGACTTTGTTGTACTGAATATTATAATACAATTATAAATTAAAGTTTACACAGAAGTGACAAACATGACTGGTTTCAATCTCAAATGCTCATGGAGTAAACATGTGGATGACTAGAGTGAATACTTAGAAACATCCAAATAACTTAGTAGGGGGAAAAAATGAAGAAATAATAAAAAATTTCACTATTTAAAAGAACACAAGTCCACAAAAACCCTCTGTAGTATGACAGACACAGCCATTTCTACACTGGCAACACTCAATCTTGGAGTTCCCACCGCACCTTATAAACTCTTCTCCAATTCTTTTTGTTGTCTTTTAGCATTCGGGACCAAAGCATGTTCATGAGTTCCGGGAACTGTTCATACATAAAGGTAGCTCTGAAAGAAAGGAGCCGTCCGTAAATATTGTAGTAGGTTAACTTTGACAGTAGATGGCAGTCTTGCTCTAGGTCCTCCCAACTGCCCAAATAGCTTAACAAATAAGCAGAAATCAAATTTTAATGACATTCCTCCTAAAATATACCCCCTCTTATTTTGTGCGGCACCCAGCACATCTCTAAGGCCAGGAATTACTCTGCCATTCTGAAAGCTTTTCTTTCACACCCTCAGTGCCCCACATTATCACCAAGAAAAACTTTTGTAGCTTTTCATTCAAATATTTTGTGTTCTTCAAAATTTGCCTAAGATCTATAGTAAGCCTCTAAATTTGACTGACACATTTTTAAAAGCTAATTTTTAATGGGAATGGAATCTACATAAGACTCCACAATATGATCAAAATGGATTATGCAGAATGTATAGTTGCAGTTAAACAGTTTAAAACTGAAAACTTCATTTTCCGTGTAAAGACACTTTGATTCTCTCTGCACTGTTGAGTCAAATTACCACTTACTTGGCAATCTCTCCCATGAGCTGCCCAGAAGGTCCCCAAGGATCATCATTCGTTGCTTCTCGAACTTTAGACTCAATCTCTGAATAATTCATAACCACATTGGTGCTGTACAGAAAAAAAAATGCACATGTGTGCATGTGCACACACATACATATAGATACACAAAGATTAGCATCAAAACTGAGCAACACATGAAAACTTAATCGTGATGCTAGTGTTATGTCCTAATGAGTTACCTCTATGGGGTGGAAGGCAGCTCTGTGCACAGGCCACCCCAAGGACACCACATTACATGTTTAAGCTATCCTAAGATTTTAGCTTTCAAGAATACAGATGCGAGACTCCATCAGCCCTAGTATGAATCCAGGAGAAATGGCTTTGGATCCAATCTCAAAGATAGCTGGACATGCTAGAGTCTATCATGGAAATACAAAGTCGCTTTTCTCACCATTGATGCTTTACAAGAATTCATTTTGTGTTTACAGGACATTTATTCTTACACTAAATTATAGGCTCTGACCTAGATCATATTAAAAAAAAGACATGACATGAAGATAATATTCTACAACTGTTTAAAACTATTACCAATATCTTCTTACAAATTCCTGTTTTTCTCTATCCAATAAACGTTGTTACTAGACAGTTACTGTAAACCCCACACCTTTACTGGCTACAAAAATATTTTCTTGGGAAAATTATTTAGCGTTTCCTTTAGGCTTCCAGTTTGTTGACAAGAATATGGAAGTCAGAAAGACCTGATTCTGATTGCATTTTGTGATCTTTGGCAAAACTGTTTTGTCTTAACTTCAGTTTGCTCAACTTTAGAAGAGGTTATGTACCTCAAAGGACTCAGCAATGGTGCTGAGTATGGGGTGTGGCATATGGGAAGTGCTCAGAAATGCTAGGTCTGACTATGGAACAGAACAACCATCTTATAGCAATAATGTTTTCAAAGAGTAAGACACATGTGAGGCAGCAAAACGTTTTATATTTTCGAAAACAGTTTGTCACATGTATGGAATCTGAAGGAAGTAAAGCCCTATAAAAACGTGACAGTACAGAGCTCATTTGATATTTGCAACTCCAACTATTATTAAATGAGTGTTGTAACAGATGAACATGGCAATTCAAATCTTCCTCTCAAAATCAAAACTTAGAATAAATAAAATCAGATTTGAACAGCTACTATTCATATACCCCTTTTGCTATGTGTCTTTTCCCCCCAGCTTAACTTTTTTTTATTGATTCTTTGTGGATTTCACATCATGCATCTTGATCCCCTGTCCCTTCCCATCTACCCTTCCCACCTCCCTCTTAGGATAAAACAAAGTAAAATTCAAAAGAGATAAAAGAAAAATAAAAATCTTAATCGTCGAAGCTGTAGTGTGACATAGTCACACAGTATATACCCTGTGGTATATATCATTACTTGCTATGAGTCATTGTTCTGGCTGAGGCCTGGGGTTTTTGCCACACCATAGATATTGGGCCCTCACTGAGGCTCCTCTAGGATATCCTGTTGTTGTGGAGATCCTGCAGCTTTGGGTCTGTAGGGATGGCCCTTTCCCCTGCTCCAGAAGATTACAGATGGGGTGGATAATGGGGTGGATAATGGGATGGGCCCACTCATATAGCTTTGGTTCTGGGTCTGGATGGTTGCAGCCAGTTCTCCCTCATCCTCAATGCCAGGATGAACTAACTCTCCAACACCTCTTTGGCTAGCTTACTCTACATAGTAATCAGCAAGGGGCTGGACCAGTTCTGCTCTCATGTCCTCAGGGCCTACTCACCTTTTCGGTCCCCCATCCGCATCAACAGGATCAGTTCTACTGTGTTGCCCAGTCAAGGTGCAGGGCCTGCTCTCCTGAGAGCTCCAGCTGGTGAGGAGCAGGCCCAGCTCTCCCACTCTCATGACCCAGGAGCCAGTTCTCCCTTCTGCCATAGGCAGCAAGGGACAAGAGGAGGCATAACCATCCCCTACCCCCAATGTGGCTTTTTAAAAGTCATTAAAAGTTGTTTTCCAACAGGCAGATCTCTGAGTTTGAGGACAGCCTGATGATCTACAGAGTGACTTCCAGAACAGCTAGGGCTACATAGAGAAATCTTGTCTCAAACACCACCACCACCCCACCCAAAAAAGTTGTTTTCTAAATAAGGAAGGTTTGAACTTACTACTCAGACCTTTAAACCATTCATTCCTTCAAGTACTTTGCTTAAGACAACAATAAACAGACTCCCCATCAGAAGTTAGCTATATACAACTGAGTCAAGTCATTAAACAAACTGTGCTGGCTTCTAGACAGGCACCTAGAGCACTGCTCTACCAAGAAAAGTAAAATCCTAGGTGTTTTCTTAAATCCTGGGAAACTTCCTCATACTTCACCAGCTCGTATGATAATGTGACCAGAAATTCCTCAAGGACCCACAACTCCTGCTGCCCTTGAAGACTATTAACAAATTTTCCTAAAATTCCAGTGATGATTAACAATTTGAGTAAATACTAGTGTCTCTCTTCTTCTTAATCTTGTCAACAATGTTATTAACAAAACTATATCTGCAATGTAAGATGATACAAAACAATAGATTTCACACCACCTTTGTTTATCCTGGTGGCTAAAGACTGTGGTTGTGGGCAGTTAAAAGCACCCAAAAGCAGCTGGGAAAATGAACAATACCAATTAGGATTATAATCTGCCTTGCATCTCAATACACACGAGATTTCCACTAAAAGACAAAGGAGTCTGCGCTCATGCACATGAAATATTTTCAGCAGAATTCAGCAGGGCTGAGGCTTTCACAACACTACTTTCCTTGTTCAAGCTACAAAGCCTGTGGGTCAAATGAGAACCCTTCAAAGGCTCTTAGCTGAAGGTCTGCATGCTGGAGTGGTGTGCATTTAGGAGAGGTGGCAAAGGGCCAGCAATTTAGAATTTCCGCATTTCCTTAGTTGAAAAACAATGGGGGCTATTAAAACATACTGCTGGCTATAAAAGACACCCACAGAAGGATGTATGCTGTTACTATGACAGCGAAAACCTAACACTTCCACATGAACAACACTATTTTAAAGCTATTTTCCAATAAAACTGCTACTTTCAGAAATGAGCAAGAATGAAGTATTTCTTTAAACTTTCAATAACTCAGAAACAATTGTAACTAAAACAAAACAAAGAACACTGTAGTTTGACCTCATTCCACCATGTTTAAAAGCACCATTACTTGGATGCTTTCTATCTTGGACCTATTCTTGATATCAGTAACACTTTCAAAACGGAAAACTAACAGTTTAAAAACGGAAAACAATGCCCTTCAAAAATGAAAATTAAAAACAACTTTACTTCCAGGTAGCTTAATTCTATGTCTTCCCAGGACTGACAGAGATTTATGTCCCTGTCTATTTCAGTCACTAGAGGGGGCCCTCTAACCAGTGTTCGGACACACAAACTCTAGAGAAAAGTCTGATTTGGCTAAGCTGGAGAGGGCGAACAGCAGCTTCCCAGGACCTGGGCAACTGTGAATCAAGTAGTTTCTGTGCTTGTAGCAACGTCTATGCCAGAAGAACTTTCAAAAGGGCATTTTGATAATGAAGTTTTCTGAGACATTTACGCTCCCTGATAAATAACAATATGAGGCTGGGTCACACTCCTGCAACACCCACACTTTGGAGACAGAGGCAGCAGGATCAGGATCAATACTGCAGCCTGAGCTCTGCTGTAAGATCCCGTCTCAGACAATGTCTTTAAATGTAAGGACCCTAATTAATCCAAGAAGACATCAAGTATAGGCACTATACTGCTACAGAACGTAACATTAAAATCACGTTTAAAGATACACTCTCAGCTACTGAATATTTTTTAGGATATATTCAATAGGAAGTGTCCGATAAAGAAGAAAAGTGGGATCTAGGAAGACGGCCCAAAGGTTAATAGCACTTTGTACTCTCCCAGAGGACCAGAGTTCAGTTCCCAGCACTTGTTAGGCAGCACACTCACCAAGTTCCTATAACTCCAGCTACAGGGAACCTGAAAACCTTTTGACTTTTTGAAGCACTAAGACATACATATAAATAAATAAATAATAAATCTTTTTTGTTGTTGTTTTTTGTTTTGTTTTCAATACAGGGTTTCACATCTGTGTAGGTTGGGAGCCTGTCCTGGAACTCGTTCTGTAGACCAGGCTGGCCTCGAACTCAAGAGATCTGCCTTCTTAGTGCTTGGAAGTAAAGGTGTGCACCACCACTGCCTGGCCAATAAATCTTTATTTATTTATTTTTTTTGTAAGAGATAAAAGAAATTTTTCTCTTCTCTTACACATGTACTCTGTGTCACACACAGAGGTCAGAGGACAACTTGCAGAAGCAGGCTCCTCTCTCCACTAGGGGACCCCACACACACAACAACAACACACTGTGAGAAAAAGTAAACTTTCAAAACAAAGTCCTAACACACTTGAAGATCGGACACCTTCAGTCTGAACAAAGCCATGTCTATAAAGACTTGATAGTAGGCTGTAAATAATATTTTCTCACTACAGAGTTGCCAATATTTATAGCCACTTGCATTTTTATTTGTCAAAACAAGACATTTTTGTGGGCAGTACACTTCACACTTCACTCACTGACTCTACCTTGTGTATATATCTGAGTAAGCAAATCACTGAGGTCAGAAGCGGGCACTGGATCCTGGAATTAACTCAAGTTCCCTGTAGGCACAGGTACCCTCAACAGCTGAGCCACCTCTCAGACCCAGAGGTAACTTGGAGACAGTTTCCCACATGGCCCCAGGCTGGAGATCACCCTGAGCTGTGAGGTGGGCCACAGTAAGAAGCTGGGCCAAATGAGACTCGTTCCCAAACACATACAGCAGATCTGGGGCATGGTGGAAGTAGAAGCTATGTTTTTGCTACAAACTTTCCAGTTGTGTATTAAAAATGAAGACTTTGAACAGAAGTCTAATAAGGAACCATTGCACTTTACACTCATCACAGAGGTAATCAATGTCAAGGAATCATCTGTTGACAGCCACTGCTGACACAGACAGATAACACCACCTAATACTTTTCTTCTGGTTCTAAACTGTCTTTCTCTAAAGCCCCCAAGAGCAAAA